GAATATTTTTCAAAAAAATGATAAGGGATTTCACATGGGGTTTGACATGGGAAAATTTATCATAAAAATGATAAAGGATTTCACATGGGAAATGACATGGGATTTGACATAGGAAAATTTTTCAAAAAAATGATAAGGGATTTCACATGTAAAATGACATGGGATTTGACACAGGAAAATTTTTCAAAAAAATGATAAGGGATTTCACATGGGGTTTAACATGGGAAAATTTTTCATAAACATGATAAAGGATTTCACATGGGAAATGACATGGGATTTGACATAGGAAAATTTTTCAAAAAAATGATAAGGGATTTCACATGGTGTTTGACATGGGAAAATTTATCATAAAAATGATAAAGGATTTCACATGGGAAATGACATGGGATTTGACATAGGAAAATTTTTCAAAAAAATGATAAGGGATTTCACATGTAAAATGACATGGGATTTGACACAGTAAAATTTTTCAAAAAAATGATAAGAGATTTCACATAAGGTTTGACATGGGAAAATTTTTCATAAAAATGATAAAGGATTTCACATGGGAAATGACATGGGATTTGACACAGGAAAATTTTTCAAAAAAATGATAAGGGATTTCACATGGGGTTTGACATGGAAAATTTTTTATAAAAATGATAAAGAATTTCACATGGGAAATGACATGGGATTTGACATAGGAAAATTTTTCAAAAAAATGATAAGGGATTTCACATGGGGTTTGACATGGGAAAATTTTTCATAAAAATGATAAAGGATTTCACATGGGAAATGACATGGGATTTGACACAGGAAAATTTTTCAAAAAAATGATAAGGGATTTCACATGGGGTTTGACATGGAAAATTTTTCATAAAAATGATAAGGGATTTCACATGGTGTTTGACATGGGAAAATTTTTCATGAAAATGATAAAGGATTTCACATGGGAAATGACATGGGATTTGACATAGGAAAATTTTTCAAAAAAATGATAAGGGATTTCACATGTAAAATGACATGGGATTTGACACAGTAAAATTTTTCAAAAAAATGATAAGAGATTTCACATAAGGTTTGACATGGGAAAATTTTTCATAAAAATGATAAAGGATTTCACATGGGAAATGACATGGGATTTGACACAGGAAAATTTTTCAAAAAAATGATAAGGGATTTCACATGGTGTTTGACATGGGAAAATTTATCATAAAAATGATAAAGGATTTCACATGGGAAATGACATGGGATTTGACATAGGAAAATTTTTCAAAAAAATGATAAGGGATTTCACATGGGGTTTGACATGGGAAAATTTTTCATAAAAATGATAAAGGATTTCACATGGGAAATGACATGGGATTTGACACAGGAAAATTTTTCAAAAAAATGATAAGAGATTTCACATAAGGTTTGACATGGGAAAATTTTTCATAACAATGATAAAGGATTTCACATGGGAAATGACATGGGATTTGACACAGGAAAATTTTTCAAAAAAATGATAAGGGATTTCACATGGGGTTTGACATGGAAAAATTTTTCATAAAAATGATAAAGGATTTCACATGGGAAATGACATGGGATTTGACATAGGAAAATTTTTCAAAAAAATGATAAGGGATTTCACATGTAAAATGACATGGGATTTGACACAGGAAAATTTTTCAAAAAAATGATAAGGGATTTCACATGGGGTTTGACATGGGAAAATTTTTCATAAACATGATAAAGGATTTCACATGGGAAATGACATGGGATTTGACATAGGAAAATTTTTCAAAAAAATGATAAGGGATTTCACATGGTGTTTGACATGGGAAAATTTATCATAAAAATGATAAAGGATTTCACATGGGAAATGACATGGGATTTGACATAGGAAAATTTTTCAAAAAAATGATAAGGGATTTCACATGTAAAATGACATGGGATTTGACACAGTAAAATTTTTCAAAAAAATGATAAGAGATTTCACATAAGGTTTGACATGGGAAAATTTTTCATAAAAATGATAAAGGATTTCACATGGGAAATGACATGGGATTTGACACAGGAAAATTTTTCAAAAAAATGATAAGGGATTTCACATGGGGTTTGACATGGAAAATTTTTTATAAAAATGATAAAGGATTTCACATGGGAAATGACATGGGATTTGACATAGGAAAATTTTTCAAAAAACTGATAAGGGATTTCACATGGGGTTTGACATGGGAAAATTTTTCATAAAAATGATGAAGGATTTCACATGGGAAATGACATGGGATTTAACATAGGAATATTTTTCAAAAAAATGATAAGGGATTTCACATGGGGTTTGACATGGGAAAATTTATCATAAAAGTTATAAAGGATTTCACATGGAGAATGACATGGGAATTGACATGGTGTTTGACATGGGAAATTTCAATATAGATGTAGATCATCGTTATAGTTCCACAGTTACGCCACTAAATGGTGATAATTTTTCTTTCTCACATTTGAGATCATTCTTGAATACTATATAAGCTGAGACTTTAACTCAGAATGTGTATTTCAAAGCACAAATTTTTTTCTTTTCAAATAAATTGCAGTAATATTATTTAATTTTTACACTGAAAAAAATTCCTAACCCCCGTATGCCAGGAATTGACTAATTTTCCTGGTTACGAGAGGAACCCACTAGGCAATCTTGGTCAAAGTTAATTTCGACAATTAGTTGGAATGACTAGGGAAGCTTATCGGAATAACCAGGTATCTTAGTTACATTGGCTAGAATCACTTTGACTAATTAAACTTTAGCAAAATTGACTATAGATACATGTCATATTAACCAAACATCTTAGTTAATATAACTAGTAAACAAGGAGTCAATTCTACTAAATCGACTTCAACAATATTAACCAAGTTACATAACTAAATTGACTAGGATTCTTGGTTACGCTGACTAGATTTAAAGTTACTATGGTTAATAGTCATTAATGCAAAGCAAATTTTTTTCAGTGTAATTTTTGTTAACTGCCTTCTGCATAAAGCATTCAACTGAAATTATACCACATAAAAACCTATATTGTTTCCTGTATAAATCCATGTGAAATCTTAGGTTGATATTTCAGAATCTACATGAAATCCCATGTGATTTCCTATGTTTAAATCCATGTGAAATCATATGTAAGAATGCACATGAAATCCCATATTGATTCCTACATTAAAACTTGTACGTAAGATTTTACATAAGGAAATCTTAAGAATTTCATATAATATTTTTTATAAGATTTGATGTGAGTTAATTATGAAGGAAATTGAGAAAAGTAATATGTCAGAAAAATTATAGGAAATACTGTAGGAATTGACATAGATTTTAATGTGGAAACAACATCATAAATTCCTACATGAAATCATACACCAAATCGTGTCCGAATTTCATATATGATTTCACATGGAATTCCATGTGGATTCCTATGTGGACCTAGGATTTCATAACAGTTTTTATAAAGGAACCTATATGGAATCATATATAGGATCCCATGTGGGGATTTTCAATAGGGTATTTTGGTGCTAAAAATAAATTATTCTCATCAAATAAAAGAAATAATAATAATTAATAATAACCTCAAAGTGTAGATAACTTTTTCTTTAATTAATCCTTTTTATAATAAACGGTCAATTAACTTTATTGTCAAATCAGTAATAATAATTATTAAAATTAGGATAATTAGTTACATATTAAATGATAAATAATTAAAATAATCAAGGAAAATAAGAAGAACGTTATAATACTTTCTCATTTTCACTTTCACTAAAAAATATTTTTACAATTTTAAATTATTTAACTTAGATTAAAAGATTTCTATATTCTCAGTCACTTATACTGTTTTTTTAATTTTTTTATACACACAGTGAGAATGGAAAAGTAAAAAAAAATTTCGAAAAAATAAAAAGAAAGTAAAAATGAGAGTGAGAATACGAATGTAAAAAAAAAATTTTTAAAGCTTTTAAAACCTTTATTAAAATTAAAACCGCATCGATTAACGTTTTGGCAAACCTTACACTATAAAATATTTAAGAGTTATTGACGTTTTAACTGCCGAAATTTTGAAAAACATTATTTTTAAATTTTTTGATTAAAAAATTTTATGTATCTCTTAAACTATCATAACCAGCTTAAATGATTAATTTTAAAAATGCATCAATTAAGATTAGAAAAGGACCTTAGAAGCAAACGAATTATAGGTTATGTTTACGATATTTTTACCTTGATCAAGTTTCTTTTTCTTTATGTAAACTTCAAATCTGTTTTTTTTTAATATTTTGAATGTAATAAAGACTTAAATGTCAATAGTTGCTTGATCCTCTTCGTGAATTTTCATTTAAAAATTTCGAAACAAAACCTATAATTTTTTGGCTTCTAAGGTCCGTTTATTCAAAGCGCGTCACAATAATATTCTCCGCAGATTTTCTCGCAAAATATTTGATAGATTGAGCTAAAATTTTTTGGAGAACTTAAAAATAGAATAAGCAATCGCAGATATGTGCCATATCATTAATATTTTATTTAAAAATTTTTTTTTCAAAAATGGCATATGTTGAGGAAAATTCAATACGACTGCAATACGATTTTAGTCATTTTAACAAACGTTTTCAAATATTACGCGAGTTATTAACATTTTAAAAAAAGAAAATTTTTGAAAAACATTACTTAAATTTTTCATTTCAAAATCTTTATGTAACCATTAATTTATCATAGCCTACTTTTTAATTGACGTTTCAAAAAACAAAAAATTTGATAAACTTTACTTTTTAAAATTTTTTATTTAAAAATCTTTATGAAACTTTTTAAAAACTCATATCACGACAAAGTTATTAATGTTTAAATATCAATAATTAAAAAAAAAACACGATTCAAAAATTTTCAATTTAAAAATCTCTATGAAACCTTTAGAATACTATTTTTTATTTGCTCATAAAAAATTCATACCTCAAAGGATTAACTGTAAGCCATAGTATAGAGGATGAAGGATAAAATAAAGTGACTCTTTTTTTAAAACGAATGAGTTGGTCAATTTATTTATATACGTGTTTTTTTCACTAAAAACCGATAACAATTTCAAGTATCCTCTCTGTGGATTGTGGGCATAATTTAATATATATATATATATATATACTTATATTTTTTTAGCGAAGCTCTTAAAAGTAATATACTCTTATTTCTAAAATATCACCTCCTACCGCTGCGTCGATTGGCCAATTAATTTTATATATTTATTTATTTATTTATTTATATATATGCAAACGACTGAAACTTGCAATTTAAAATTACAATTTTAGTCACGAGGCAAAAATTTATACAATATTCACGATAAAATATGATTTAAAAGGGAATAACATTGAAATATGACTTTCGTGGGGGGGGGGGATTTGAGGTTATGATGGCCAATCGTCGAAGCCGAAGCTACGCAAGAGGTATCGCTTTGGATTTTACAATCTAAAATATATTAACTAGATTTTTTTTTTGTTTTTTATCCTGAAAATACGATTTCACGATTCGATTCGGTTATTAGTTATTCTATTTAGCAAAGTTCATGATAGTAAAATATCCTTCATATACTACGATTAAATAGATATAATCTTCGTAATAATAACAGTTTTATATAAGAAAATAAAGGTAAGCAACCGGAGCGCAAAGACGCCGACTTAGGCTATATATTATTAAATACATTTCCGTTTTCGCTCTCAAGTTTCACTCCTTTATATTCACTTTTTTTTATGTATAATTATTTTTTTTTTCCTTTTGTCAGCCTTCTAAACTCTAAAAAGTATTGCACCGATTGCACATACATATACCTTTTTTTTTGTTTGTTTGTTATTTTTTTTATTTACAAAAGTGAGCATCGGCACAACATATAACAGTAACCGTACACATTAATTTATGTGTACGGTGTTAAAAATACTGATTTTCGACGAATCAAATCGTCCAATACATTATTATTATTATTATTTATTAGTTCCGAGTCCGAATTAGCTTTTGACGCTAAAATAGTTGCGCGCGCAACACTTATATTGCGCGCGCAGATGGATCGCTAATTTGGACTTTACACTTTTTAATAAGCAGTCAGCCAACTTTTGCAATCGTAAAATATATTCACAAACATAAATATTTTTTTTTGCACAAAGTCGTTGTGGGATAAATTTGAAGTCAATCAGTTCTATTTAGAAGAAAAAATCATACTTTTCTCTTATATAATAATAAAACGAAAGCTTTTTTTTTACAATTTTTATATCAATATTTGATTTTTCTCCAAAAATTGCTTTTTAGCTCGTGAATATTTTCGAAAAAGGATTTTTTTAAATTTCAATTTTAATATTGACTTGGAGAAGTGTGGAAAAAAAATTGTCATTGACTTTTATAAATAGAAATACACATTGACTTTTAGTGATGCCTTTTTTTTGGTTTTGAGCAAATTAGCATTTTTGGAAAAAATTCACGAGCATTAAATAATAAAGTTCATATATTAGTGGAAAAAGAAATTTTTTTTTCTATTTTGAGAATAGAATTTTTGAAAGTTGTCAAAAATTATTATAAATTAATTTGAAAAGAACCAGTGAACTTCTTTTGGAAATAGATTTTTAAAAAAAAGTTAGAAATTATATTTCAGCTTTTGATATCCGGGAATTTATTTATTTTTTTTTTGTATTTACTAGATTGATTTTTAAGTTTGTCTAGTTGAGAACACTGTGCGTAACATAGAGAGTAGATGGTGGGGAGCGTACGAATACCAATCACAGTGCTTTGTTTCCCCCACCAATTTTTTTTTTCGCGCGCAATATTCTCAACTGATCTAAATTTTTATATTTGTAATTATACTCTACAACAGCCGTTTATTAATAAATCGAATAATAATTCGATCTAAATATATCTTTTCTTTAAGGGGTCAGAACAGCATTTTTTTCTCTTACATTCGATGACATTACTTCTAAGTAAGACACCACACTTTTTGTTTTGCATAAATATAATAATTTGACTCTCACAAAACATCACTGAGGTGCTGAGGTGGGGGGGGATGAATAAATTTTTTTCCAGTGTAAATAGCGTAGAGAATATATGTTACATATAGTACTTGAAATGATTGACGACATTGATGATTGCCTGTGTGATTTTTTTTTTTAGTTAAAGCCTATAGGTACAGACTCATATTTAATATTTTATAAATATCGGTTTTTGCATTTTTTTTTTTTACATTTTTAACAGGGTAACGATGATCGATTTGATGCGAATCGATCGGATTAAACTTGAATACAACTATATTCCAACGCGAATTGAACACGTGGTATACAACAATTTCGTCGAGTGACGAAGGAGGTAATTTTTTTTATACACTTTTAAAATGTCTCATAATGCATGCGAATTTTCTAAATTTTTTTTTTGCGCGAATATAAAGCTCTTTTACATGAAAAAGATTAGAGAACACTGCAGAGTTTTGTTTTTTTTTTCTTGGCGGAATTATTATTTGAGGAAGAACTACGAAACATCACGAATTTTTTTTTTTTTATAGCCCAGGAAATATTTTTCTACTTTTACTAAATTGTAAGTGCGGTTTTTTTAAAAAAGAGAAAGAAAGAGAGAGAGAGAGAGAATAGAAGTCATTGTCAGTGCTCTCAAGGAGATATGTGATTTTTTTTAGAGAATTGGAAAATAATTTTTTTATAAAATATTTTTAGGGCAGCATGGCATTTTAAAACTATTACTAGTATGCGTATTTATTTTAATTAATAATTTATAGTTATTATTATTAGTAATTTTAATCGGTAGATATAGTTTTTAGTTTGTAAATTGCCTTCGATTTTGGTGTATTATTTTTTTTCTCTAGTGATTAGGTTGAGAACACTGCGCGCGCAACTTGTGGAGAGAAGTGGGAAGAGTGCGACTACCAATAGCGTGACGTTTACCCCCTCCCAAAGTGTGCGCGCGTATTATTCTCAACTTACACTTAACACCAATAATAAAATTTGAAATGTTTCATGTGCGCATTTCATGATAACATTTTATTATAATATTTTTTGATCTTCTTTTGATAAATATCATAAAAATGATAATCATTTTTTTTTACTTTTTTATAATTAGCGAATAAAATATTCCAACTTTTTCTCCTGTCAATCAATTTTTTTTATGTTTATTTTCATGTACTTAAAATTATCATTAGTTTGTCAGTTTTTTTTAAATATTTTAAAATCGTAACTTAATGTTCAGTCACAGTTTTTAAAAAAAATTAAATTTATTATTAAAAAATTTTTAAATTCAATCATTAAATTGCACAATTATTATTGATTATAACATTTCGTCTCTGATTTAATATTCAGTCAACAATATTAAATAACTAATTTTTTTTTGTTGTTAATTATTAAACATTAGAAATATATTTAATTTAAAATTTCAACAAATATATAGAGATTTTACAATTGTTTCTATAATTAATAGAATTTTTATTATTGGCACATTTGACAGTGATAAAATGAAAACAGTTCTTGTTTAAAATTCTGTAACTAATTGTAAGAAGGACATTTTTAAAATTAATTATTTTTGTTACTCTATTAAAAAATACCTAAAAATATATTTTTTTCTTTTTAGATCTTTTTTTTAAAATAACAAAAGAGTTTTTTTTTTAAATTTTTAACAGTATAATAAAATAAAAAAATCATTAAATAAAATAATAAAATATGTCTTACAAAAAAAGTAATACATTAATATATTTAATTGTAGAATTTAATATAGAGTAAAATGTAACATTTAATAATTAAAATAAGTAATAAAATATTTAATAGTAACTTTTTCCGACAAGACTTAACGATTTTTATTAAAATATTTTTAGCAAAGAAATTAATTTCAAATAAATCTATTTATTGAGAAAATAAATGTTATTGTTGAAAATAAAATCTTATTAAAAGAAATAATTATTAATAAAAGAAAATTCATTCATTTTATCAAATAAGTAATTATTTTAGGCGGTTATTGCATGAAGAAGTCTGTTCAGTATATACTAGCACCATTCTTTTTTTTAACAATATTTTGTATCAAAAACTTGATTGAATCGCTCAGAGGAACTTTTGATAGTTTTTTTTTTTTTGGCAATAATTAAAAATTTGTAATTTTTATTATATAATAATTAGCAAAGAGAAAGTGGAATTCTTTGGGTTTCTAAAATATTTGCAATTTATAAAAAAAATTTTTTAATTTATCGTCGTTAAGTCGTTGTTATACTTTGTCGACAAAATTTGAATTTAAAATTTTTTTTTTTTGGATTTCTCGCGGTTTCTTCTGTTTTTTTTTCGTTTGCACTTTTTCTCAAAGGCACGAAGTGTAACACAACCGTTACCTTCTTTTAACTCACAGAGTCTACTTTGATCTTTTAAAAATGGTTTTTTACCATTTTTTTTTCCCAAATATTTTACAATTGCCTCCTTGTTTTTTTTTTTTAGTCCAGGGGCAAATAAAATCAATTAATTCTCCATTATATAGTGAATTCTCATATTACAAATCATGAAAATTAATTAAATTTTTTTCACCCTTGGAATTTATTATTAAATCGTTTGCATTTTTTATTTTTTTATTTTCTTTTTATCTCTGTATATTTTTCACGCGAAAATTCTAGATTTTTTTTTTCAAATGCATCTATAGACAAAAATTTATTGGAAATTTTTTTGTTTTTGCAATCTTATTTGAAAATTCTACTCACACAAGTGTTTTTTTTCTCTCTCCCTTTTCTTTCGCTACTTTCGCTTTACGTTTATAATTATTTTGTTTTCAACGATTATTTCATAAATGAGCGACGCCTGCCAATATATATAGAGAATATCGAAAATGTTGATCTCAATTTTTCATAAAGTAGCATCAATTGTTTTTTTTCTTTTTGAAGAGAAGTAAATTTTATGCATTTTTAAAGATTGAAGATTGTCCCATGCCAGGTTTACTAGCTTTCGACCTTAAAATTTAGTCTAAACCGACAGTTACGTGGAAGTTTGCGATGAGTGGTCAGGATGATAATATCGAAGTCCATTTATCTGGAACGCAAAAAAAAAAAAAAAAAAATTAATTATTTTCGCTATCAGACAAAATATTGTGAGAGATTATTGTAATCGAAAAAAAAGATTTAAAAAAAATAAAAATTTGTTTTTCCATTTAATAGTTAATTATTTTTTATTTTTTTCTACTTCAAATTATTAAATAGTAAAAAAAATTAATTATAAATATTATTCGAATTGATTCTTAAATAGAAAATTTTTTTCTTTTTTCTTCTTTTCCTATCAAAAAATTGACAAATTTTTTTTTTTGGGGAAAAGAAGAAAACTCACCGTCATGTCATATTCGGTTATATATGCAGGTATCTCTAATTCATTTGGTGACATGACTTCATAAAGATATTCCACACCAGGTAGATTATGAACTTTTTGCTTTATCGCTGGCGCCATAAATGTTGTGAACCACCACGTCATCATCTGCAAAAATATCGAGGTCATGAATTTATTTTCGACTCGTTTTATATAAATTAGTATACCCTGCAGCTAAAATTAACTATTTATTTTCTTCAATTTGTGCTTTTCTTAAATATACGCAAAACTTTCAACGCGTTCATTTAAAAATAGATTTATTACAATATTTATTTTCATATTTATATCGAATATTCCTGTGTGCACCCACTATAACAGGAAACATCAATACATTTCATATATATATATTAAAAAGAGAGAGAAAAAAAAACATTTACTACGTCCATGTAACATTCTATTAAATTATTATCTATTTATATATTTTCAATTTATTTCATTGACTAAAAAAATTAAATCAATAATTTCAATGACATAAAAATATTTCTTCTTCATTCATAAATTTCATATAATGTAAAATTCCATCTAAAATGAAATTCATTAAATAATTTCATAAAATAAATTTTAATTTGTAAATCGAACCGAAATTGTTTGTCGTATAGTGTCTCGTCTCTTTAATAATATACACGTAGCTTTCGATAAGAGATTCTATTCAAAATGATGTAATAATATCAAACATGACGTTGTTAATGAAAAGAGTCAAATAACCTGGTTCTTCCTTTTTTTTTTTTTATCTCATAAGTCTCGGAGCTTTATGTAAATGATTGTTTTTAAACTCGCCAAGTGAATAAAAACCTGATATGAAACTGTATATATATTTTTTTTTCTATAACAAGTTACAACTGGTATTTCTAGACAAGTTGTCACGGAAGTTGAACAATAACAAAAAGAAACCTTAAAAATCAGATTATTTTCAATTATATAATTATTTTTTTTTTTGTGAAAAATTATTTTCTATTTCGGAATTGTAAATTGTTAATTCATTGCAAAATTATTTTATAAAAGACATTATTATTATTACTATTAACCAACCTTTGTCCAGAAAGTTGGATGCACGATGTAAAAGTGCTTCAGATTTTTTTTGTATCTAGAAGAAGAGAAAAAAGATTATTGCAAACAATGACAGTAATAATATACGTTGACATTAATTAACCTTTAGACACGAAAAAAACAGATTTCTTTTGCTGAAGGTTTGGAGGATTTTTTTTACTATTGGAGGTTATGTTATGTAAAAAGATGATTTTTTTTTGCCAAAATGATCGTTATATCTTTTAAAAGTAGTGTTATTAATTTTTAAAATCCATTTTATAATATTTAAAAAGCTTTTCCCATTGAAAACCCTCAAGCGACGAGTTTCAAAGCGATTTTGTTCGTTTTTAAAAAATTTGTCAGCCATATTGGATCTACCATTTTGAATTTTATAAATCTGACCTCAAGATCATAATCAGCGACCCCGAAAACCCCCGAGTAACAAGTTTGAAGCAATTTTATGTACATTTTGACTTTTGGCAAAGAAATTGGTTTTCCTGGCTCACTGTACAGAAGCCGTAACGAAATTTTTGGTAAAAAATTATTTTTTTTTTGATATAACACAACCTCCAGAATAGCTAAAGAAAAACATTTTTTTTACAATTAGGTTAGACTTAAAATATCTGAAAAACTTTACATTATATAGTAATTACGGAACAAAATTCTGATTTAGAACGTGAAAAATTTTCGTGGAAGTATAGTCAGCCTATGTAATTATAATCATAATTATAATAATAGTAAAAATGATAATTATTATTATATCGGCGAAAGACGGAGAGTGGTAGCCTGACATCCTAAAACTATTGAAGACGTTGGTTGACCCATTAAAAATGGGGACTGATCTATATTAAGATAGATCTAGCTAAGATAAGCTAGCAATAGTCCATCATTCAGAAACAGGCACTTTGATCAATGTCGACAAGGTGATGATAGGCTGGATTAATTCTAGAATTAGTGATACAATCGAAGTGATTAGGTGTCTCAACTACAGACGTCTAACAAGAAACTACAATGAAGCCAGGAAGAATACAAGAATGAAAAAGATCATCAATGACCCTAGAAGTAAATTCCGTCCAATTTATAAAGTCACCAAATTGAAAAAAAAGAGCTGTGTTTTCTTTTTGGTCAAAATATTAAATGTTCTGATACAGACTACCAGAAATAAACTAGTGGATAAACTGCTGATTAGTGAGCAGTAAAAGAAGCAAGGATTATCTATCTAGTTTCAGGATGCTTCAAAAATATCATGAATCCAAATATATGGCCCGTATCACACCTTCGATGATTTCCTCTAAACTGACAACTGTGGAGGTTTAGGTGTTCGTAGGTACAGCTGCAATTTTTGCCTAAGCAAAACCCTTGGAAAATTCGATGCCGAAATTGGTTTAGTTAAAGAAAGCATTAGATCTTTAGGTGAAGTTGTTCTAATTACAAAAGACTTCAACAAGTCGCCAAAATGTGGAGAAACTCGTAAAGCAAAATGGAAATCCTTGTCACCGAAATGGGTACAGCGAATGAACTAGTGATGTTGACCGAGGCACAGAATTTACATTTTGACTTGGAGAATCAGGACCTATTTTCGATTTGACAATTGCTTCCACATGCTCGACCCTCTGAATAAAAGAATAGAAGGTACTGGAGGAAGAAACCGTGATAGACTAAAGATACATTTTAGGAGTACTCTGCCTTTTATCAGGAAAAGGCCTTCTTGGAAAAGGAGAATAAAATGGCAGATACTGATGGAGTTTCGTAGAACAGTTGTACATTATCGACGAACTTAAATGGGAGAATTCTTACCTCAGAAGAGAATGTCACTCGGCAAGGAGAAAATGTACCCATTTATAAAAAAAACCACGATCTGTGGAGGGAAAAGTGGCATAAATCCAGGAAAATCTTCAACCACGTCGTAAAAGATAATCCTACGTTGTTGTTGAATGCATAAAGCCAGGCAAATCTTCAAGCACGTCGTAAAATATATGTGTACGTTGTTACTAAATGCATAAAGCCAGGAGTACTTTAAGGATATGCTTCAAGCATATCGTGAAATGCCTACGCTATTGTTGAATGCATCTAATTGGAGAATAAAATAACATCCAATGTTTAACTATCTGGTTTAACTATCTGTCTAGGTTGACCCACTCTAGCACTTCAGGACCTTATTACCACAGTCCCCTTTAGATAGCCTGATAGATGATTGCAGACTGTAAGTCAAAGAGATAAGATTATTACTAAGTGGTGGCAAGGCAAAAAACCCCTATTCTGAACAATCCAAATTGGGTCCTAAAAATTGTTAGGTTGCTGCGAAATCTGGGTTTAGAAAGGATTATATTCACTACGTAGAATAGAAATAGGACAATTTAAAAAGGGTAACCACGACTTCGAAATGACAAAGCGCCCAACGAGATCCTAAAAAAGGTGACCTATACCTATCGAGAGCTTCTTCTGAACATCATTAACATATTACTAAAAGTTGAAGAGTTCTTCAGTGATTGGAATTCGATTCTTCATATCAAAGAAATTAAATTTCTATTAGATAAAGTCAAGTCGTTTAGATTAATTTGCTTATTGAATACGATGGGTAAAGTTCTAGATGATATGGTTCTGCAGATACTTTAAGATCTGGTAGACGAAAACAGTCTCTCCTAATAAACAAATGACAGACATTTGCCAAAATAATGCATGTCGTTTTATCGAAGAAATTAATGAAGCTGTTGAAAAATCTATGGAATAAGATAACAATTTTTTAAGAATTATATTGCCTGAGTGGTTTAATAAATTGATCAAAAATGATATAAGGAAAAGGAACAAATAAGGTAAAAAAGTTTCTCTCCATCTTAGGACTGGTTTGACCCAAAAGCTGGTCACTATGTTGTTACAATTACGTATCCAGATTTTGGGTCGTGGCTAACTTTTAGGTCGTACCAATCTTAAGGTGGTTAGGAACTGGCAAAGTATAAAGCACCACAAGTAGAAATTTAATTTCAGAAAGAAGTGTGGTTTTGGGTGGGTAATAATCTATTAGTATCTAATATCTGCCGTTTAAGTAGACTTTCAAGGGTTTTGCAGATTTTTTACTTAACTCATCAGTAATAATAATATTAAGAGTAATAATATTAATAACAATAATAATAACAATAATAATTTACTTGTAAGGAAGTACGTTGTAGACTTCTCGAAGCCAACTTAGACTAGGATAGTTATTGTTGGTAGTCAATGTGTGAAAGTAGGCAATCACATAATCTCCTTTAACGATAGGATCCAGAAGCTGAATCAGGTACAATAAGGCCTGAAAGCAAAATGGCAAATTATTATTGAGAACAAGGTCTAAGCATTTGTCGAGGTCTTTTTAGTTTAAGTGCTCTTTACAAGAAGGCTTAATAAATTCGTTGTTATATTGCTGGAGGCTGTGCCCAATACAAATAAATATAGGACAATTGCTGTCAAGAGCAGAGCACTCTTTATTAAACTCTTAATCTAATTCATAAATTCTCAACAGGGTGTCTACTTCTCAATTCGGACATTTCCTAGAGAATAAAAAAAAATATCGATATCGTCGCCTCTTATTGATATAATTCTTATTAAAATACCATGTTTCTTATTGATTTTTTCGTGCAATATGATTCTTGATATTTCAGTGTAAAACAATTTCTATTTAAAAATTAATTCAGAAATAATTCACGTTTAGTGTAATAGGTTACTGGCTAGGTTTGTATTACTATGTTACAGATTTCTACACAACAGATAAACTTGCAACAATATTGGAAATATTGCCTTTGTTTCTAAAATTGTTCTGATATTTTAGGTTTCGTGGAGTTGTAAAGGTTTGTTAGGATAAATTGGCTATGAATAATGAGAGTAGAACATATTTAAAATTAAAGCATTCTACTTGTATTTTGATCCGATTTGGATTATTTTGAACACAAGGTTTGAAGTTTGAAACTATTCATCAAACAGTTAAATAGTACTGTTCAACTTTCCTTCCAATAGCGTTAACATCACAAAGTAACCTAATACAAGTGCTACAAGCTTAATGCATCTATACGTAAAGTCCATTAATATATAACTGAATTGCATCTAAAGCTAAAACTATTAGTGTAAATTTTAACTTGGTTTTCGTCTACTAAAAATTAATTTGTCATTCGGATTTCCCATAGATTGAGCTAAAATTTGTTTTGAAGAAGTCTAAAGATAATGCAAAAGTTTTTATATTTTATTGAATCAATATAAACAATTTGTAAATTTATAGAAAACGTGATTGTAAAAACTCACATCACTGTTCATAATTTCTAGTAATGTTAAAATATTTTATCATATAATTAATTCAATAAAATATCAACATTTTTACAAAACACTGACCATTCTGTATTTTAAACTTCTCCACAAAGAAAATCAATTAAGTATTTTATGAAAAATCCAGAACGACAACATTGCAGCGATCACGTCACCTAACTTGTACGTTGCTAGCTCATTTCCTTGATGGAATTATCTGATCTTTTGGTTAATAAGCGAATATTTAAGATAGATTTTTCTTTACTGTCTCAATGATCGTTTTACTTTAAATTGCAAAATTTCTACACTGTAAAAAGAAAATCTTATTTTAAGATGAGTCTTAAATTCATCAGTACTAGCCATAATGTATTTAAATTCAAATTGCATATAAATTCATTGCTTAGATTCAGCAAGGGCTGTCTTAAAAATGTTGCCTTTTAAAATAAGACACCATTTCTGTCTTAAAATAAGACTTTCTTTTTACTGTGTAGCTGTAGAACCAAAATGGTGTTTCATACTAGATGATGAATAAATTTAATTTTTTGGTGAACTAACAATTGGACTACAGAATTCAAAAATCATTAAAATCACACAAAGGAAAATTTGTCTTTTTGTAAAAAAAAAAAAAAAAAAAAAAAAATTGAAAATAACTTTTTATGAAAAACAATACTTTTTTTTAAACAATAGTCTGAATAATTCTTTTTTCAAATGGTATTTCTAGTTTACAACAGTTTGCTAAAAATCACTAATTCATAAAATTGAGAAAATAATTTTTTTCTTTAAATGAAGGAAATTAAAAATTAGATAACTTAATAGGAAAATAAAAGAATGACAAAAATGTTTCCATTGTTTAGATAATTAATTGTTATACTTTAGGTTATACAATTGGCACAACTGATAGGAATCAAATCTCGTAACATGCAATGCATAGTTGGTTTCACTCTTTACTTTGTGTGTATATATAGTTATTTATTGTGAATTGTGCGACTAGTGTTGTAATAAAAACTTATTTCCTCAATTTTTTTTTCATAAACATTGTCTTCACTTATATTTACTAAAATCAATAAAAAAAAATATTGTATTCTTAATAAGTGGAATTCTCACACGTGTTGTAGAAGAAAAATGTTTCAAATATTTTTTATGCCGACAAAGAATTGTTTTTTTTTTTTTTTTTTGAAAAAGAAAAAATTTCCTTGTATGCCCATTAAATATTTAATAGTGGAGTATATTTTTCTATTTATAAAATAATAAAACAGAATCTATAATAAAATTTAGATTACTAACAAAAGATAATTAACTAGATTAACTTAGTTTCCCTTGTAGAATAATCGATTTTGTTTCTAATACGTAAAATAAAACTGCACCTTTATTAGATGAGAAATAATTTTTTTTTTTTATCATACACTGCCTTTGGAAATTGTCGGCTAACGCGATCACTATCAAAAAAACACGTCTTCAACTCGCGGCATAAATTAGTAAAATTGTCGTAAAAATTTAAAAATTATCATCATTTTGTCCAAAAAATTCAAAAAATTGATAAATCAGATTTTTAATTATACCTGAGGAATTTGTAAATATTTTTTAACTTTTTTGGTCTTAAATTAAAACTGTGATTCTAGTGATGATTTCACATAAATTTTAAATGTTTTCAATAATTTTTATAAATTCTGCCACTAGTTGAATGTAGTCTACGAAAAAAAGGAGAAAATACTGATTTTTTTCCAAATCAGATAAAATTTCCAAAAGATTTAAATTTTTTATTTCATTTCTCCTTTTTCTTTTTTGAGTTTAATCTTCTTGGAAAATTGAAAATAGTAAAAAGGGCCAACCACCGACCTTGTGTTACTGACACATACGAGAATTAAACGAAGTCTATTTCCAGGCGTGTTAAAATCGATCTGTCGCCAGCCAAGCACATCTTTCTGTGTATGTGTATTATAGTCGTAAATGCAAGTTCTACTATTATAATGTATATTTAATTTTTTATATTTTAAACTGCGAAAATAATTAAATACGTTTTTTTGCCCCCAATTTATGAATCCAAACAATACAAAATAAAATTTAGCAAAAAAAAAAAAAATTCAAAATATTTGATTAAAGAAATTGATAAGAATTGATAAAATCATTTGTGATTACAAATACAAATAAGCAAATTTGCTTATTATATAAATATTGTTGATTTTATTTTGTTTTATTGAGAAAATTCATATTATGATAAATTTTCATTGCGTGATTCACACAATATCTAAGAATTAAAATTGCTTTTGCCAAAAAGATGAAAATAATTATTTATGCTTTCTTGTCAACATTGGATATGTTATTAAAATTATTCATAAATAAATATTATTATCCAAGAATTTAATTTAAATTTTAAGATTAGTCATTGCTTTTATTTTTTAATGTAAAAAACTTAAAATTTATAAAACTCTTTAAATTTAAATTAGTGAGAATTCGATCACTGAATGAAATTAATAAAAAATTTCCCATAAAATTTTAATCATTTTTCACTAAAATTTTAGTAAAAAAAAAACTATTAAAAAAATATTACTAAATCAAATAGTAATATTTTACTAAAATTTTAGTAATAAATAACTAAAAATTAGTAGAAATCATTAATTCAAATTTAGAGACATTGTGAAAAATTTTATATAAAATTTAATTAAATATTTATATTTACCTTGTCGAGATTGATATTATTAGCCGGGAACCATTTGCCCACAAATACGACAACAGGTCGTCCTTGTCGATCGGTTCCACTTTGATAAAGACAACCAATTCCAGAAATTTCTGAAAGGTCTTCCATTTTGGCACGTCGGAGAAGTCTCTCGTACCTAGAATAAAAATAATATTATTTTTTTTAAATTATTCGACAATAGCGAAAATTTTATTTCTTACATTTCATAAAAAAGTTAAATTTTTAAAAAATTTTATTTTATAGATTAAAACTAAAAAAAAAAAATTGTGCAAAATAAACCAGGCATGGAAATATAGATTTTAATCGAAAATCGAAAATAATATTCGGAATCGATTTCTAATCAACTTAGAAAATGTCGATTAACTTCGATTTTTAATCGATTTCTAATCGATTTAGAAAATCTCGATAAAATTCGATTTTTGCCACATAAATAATGGATCGATTAATCGTTAATCGTTTTTGTTAATATATTTTTTGTTTTTATTTAAAAATTTCGTTTAAAAAATAACATGCTTAAAATAAATCTTATAGTAAATAATTAGAATTTTGTTTTAATTTAAAAATTATTTAACAAATTAAGAAAATAGAAAAAACGATTTATTTCGCTGGAGAACATTTTTTTTTTGTTACTATTAAAAAAAACCGCTGAGCTCAGCTATAATATAGTTGCAAAACATAGAAATACATGAGACGATAATTAAAAACGTATTATTCTGTTTTTTTTTCAAGACTAAATGAGAAGTTAATTTAAATTATACACTTTTTTTGCTCATATTTTCTTTAAGTTATTATTAATTAATTGAACATCATTTATTAATGAACTTAATTTTTCCATCAGTCTATAAATTATGTTTAATTGAATAATTATTAGCTAAAATTCAACTCAAAAAATGTGTAATAAACTTAAAAAAAAAATTGTATCAGAAAAATAAAATTTTTTTCAAATTATGCAATATAAAAATAAATTCAAAATTGTCCAATTAAAAAAATCTGCAATTTTTTCGAAATAGTAAAAAAAATTTTTTATTTTGTCAAAACATGTTTGCTTTTAGTTTTACTATCTTAAAATAGACCGTTAAAACTTTATTTACCTCCCAAATAAATAAAACGGATGTAAAAAAGAAGTAACTGTCATTTTAAAAAAATAGTTATGAACTGCGCCAAAAAAATTTTTTTATGTGAAATATTTTCATTGTTATTACGTTGTATAAAAAATATCAGTATTATTTTAAATATCGTTTATTTTTTATTTATTGTTAATTATTTTTATTTATTTTGAATTTTATTATTATTTTTCATATTTTCATTCGTTTCATAAACAAAAAAAAAAAAAAAAAAATATTAAACACTGAGGAAGAAAATGTAAAATCTTAAAATGACCAACTACTTTTAAAAATGCACTTTTTACTGATGACAAATTAAGAACAAAAAACCTTGAACTTCACTCAAGTTGTTCTTGTCTCCTTATAACAAAGTTCACGGCTTCCGTCAAAAAAGAAAATTTAATAAAATATTCACTAACATCACACTATAAACATAAAAATTTGATAATTTTAATTAAATTTATTTCTTAAATTCACAAATAATTTTTTTTTTTTTTTAATCACTGAATCCAAGAAAAACATTTTCTATTCTTTGTTTTATCAAAAAAAAAAAAAAATTGTCACAGAATTACCTAATTTTCTTCATTATTATTATTCAAATAACAAGAAAAATTAAAGAGTTTTATTTTTTTTTAACTTGTGTATATAAATTTAAAAAAAAATTTATATTCACAAAATTGTTTACACAATGCGGAAATATAATCAACGCGCGCACCTGATCATTCCATATGAGAAACTTATGATCTTTGTCGATTTAATTATGAGAACAGTGAATATATACACAAGCAGTTGCTTCTTTATCATCGGTAGCTTATCTTTTATATTTATAAGTCGTACAAAGATGGAGAGAGCGCGATTTCATATGAAAGTCATATTAATTAAGGAAATTTTGATGACATTTTCTTCCGTTGTAAAGGTCGCGGCGAAATACAGTTTTTACCACGCGATTCAAATTGACGTAAATAAATTCCAAGATAAATTCGATAAGAAAGAGGTTAAAAAACTTGATGTAAAAAAATTTTAACAGTAAGAAATTTTCATAAAAAATAAGTGAAATTTGAAAATGTTAATTATTTTGTCTTGCATCAATTTTTAAAACAGAACAAAATAATTTACCTCAAAATGTAACAGATAAAAGTTAAAAGCAAATAGTAACTTTAAAAGTTATTGAAATGATTTAAAACTTTGGTAAATTCATGTCCTATATAAGGTTATCAAATTTCTAAAATTTTAGCTTATTTCAAAATAATTTGTAAAAGCTTGTAGTCGTTGAAGTTTTGATATTTTTAATTCACATTTACTTTTTTCAATGTTATTTTCAAATTTTTATAATAATGTCAAAATTTTACAAATTTTGATTTTTTATACAGTAAAATTATAGAAAATGTTGTTTTGTTTTTTTTTTTTTTCAAGCACCACTTTTTTCTTATAAAATTGTCATTTTAATGAGCTAAAATTTTCGTTATTTGTTACCCACATATAGAACAACAATTTACCAAAGTTTCAAGACAATTCAATAAATTTTGAAAATTTTTGACGAATTTGAAAGGAGTCGTGCTTATAATACGTCACGCAATTTTTACCCTTTTTTACCCCCCCCCTACCCCATGTCATACTTGGTTCCATACATTAACACCATTTTTTCTATTGGTCGTTACAAATCTCTAGACCCCCCACTCCCCTTGTTTGCGTGACGTATTATGTTCACGACCCCAAAATGACCGTATTGCTTAAAATGGAAAAACTTTAATTTCTACACCCACGTACAATTTTGTTTTCAAATTAGTTAAAACTTTAGTGATTTTTAATCCACATATTGAATTAAAATTTACCAAAGTTTCAAGTAAATTCAATAAAATTTGATTTTTCAACTGTAACGTTTGTAATTGAAAGAATCAATATTTAGCTCGCCGAGCCAGGGTTCGTTTTGATTTCAGGATGCCAAAAAAATAATAATAATGGGTTAATTACAAACTGATAACAAATTATTTATTTACACGATATATTTACAGGTGTCGAAAATTATACAGGCGTAACCGGTAAATCGCGGAAGTCGGTTTCAAACAACTTTTGTAGGCGTCTATCGCGATGCGTTGAGCCGCGGAATCGAGAATCAGCATCAATCTGGTAACGTCGCATATTTTAGGCCGCGCATTAACGAAATCGGCTTCAACTCGCTGCGATTACCCGTGGAATCAATTGTAATACTGCCTAAAAATCCGCGATATACTAGTGAACTACGAGTAAAACTCGTATTCTAATTATACAAAGAGTAAAACTCTAAGTATATCTAAAAACGGAGATAAAACGGAAAATCTACTTTAAAATTCGTGAATACAAAAATTACGTTACTATACATTTTGATACGTTACTTTACGATTCGTAACTGTATATTACGTTACTTCACATTACATTACTATACATTATCATACTTTACATTTTATTACTATACATTTCGTTACGTTACTTTACACTATATACATTAAAAACCGATAAAATGTTCAACGGGTAAAACCCGTCGATCAAGAGTAAAACTCTGGGAATATGGCTCCTTAGGGGTAAAACCCCTAGTCAGGTGGGTAAGACCCTCGTGAACTCCGTGTAGCGCGAGAGTAACAGTTCTCAGTGGGAGCGCAGCTTATATAGCCGTTCGGTAGGCTGAGCGTACGCGAGAGAGCTCCTAGCGATGCGGCCCGCACGGCGAAATCGGGTACTACGTTACAGTGCTCCGCAGTCGGTAACCTGTTTATCGACACATGATAATACAATTTAGTATAAATATTTATCAGCCGATTTCTAACTATCATTACACAACTAGTACTACGTTCAAAGAAAAATGCCCTATGAAAAAAAGAGAATAGAAAGTTTATAATATAAAATATTTTGATCTTCCTATATTTCATTTTTGTTTACTACAATAAATTTACAAAAAATATTGACAAATTCTAGAGAAAAATAACAATAAAGTTAAATCAAACATAATAATACTGAATTTATTAATGTAAATAGATTTTCAGTAAAAAAAAAGAATTTTTTCTTAATTAATCACATATCTATAAAATATTCTTAAAGGCCAGGTCCAAATGAGGCAGCGCCATCTATATTGAAACTAAAATTTGGGAAAATTTCCAACAGCCTTTTCTTGAAAACAAGAAGGTAAAATGCTTTTTTTATGGATAATTGATTATTAGCAAAGAAATACACCAGCTAAAACTTTTTTTGGGTTAAAATGATGAAAAAAATTTCATATGTCAATAAATTAAATATGAGCATTTTTTTCACAAAAACTGTAACAGTACTTTCTCAGAAATTACAATCAAAAATGCAATTTCCATTTGGAAAATTAATAAACGCTAAAAAATACACCACCTAAGATTTATCAATCACGAAAATAACAAAAAAAAAGTTTTTTAACATAACATATTTTACTAATTATGACAGCCGTTTTGCAGGTTATATATGTCACCAGACGTTTCGCGATTTTGCCGAAAGGAGGAGATTGGCGCTGTTACTAACCACCTGAAATACATAATCTACCAAAAGGCTGTCACAATTATTAGTAAAACAGTATCAATATGTTAAATATTTAAAAAACTTTTTTGTTGTTATTTTCGTGATTGGTAAATCTTAGGTGGTGTATTTTTTAGCGAATATGAATATTATAAAAAGTGCTCAGATATAATTTATTGACATTAAATTTTTTTCATCATTTTAACCCAAAAAAAGTTTTAGCTAGTGTATTTCTTGCTGATAATCAATTATCTATAAAGAAAAAAGCATTTTACCTTCTTGTTTTCAAGAAGAGGCTGTTGGTAATTTTCCAAAATTTTAGTTTTAATATAGATGGCGCTGCCTCATTTGGACCTGGTCTTAAAAACAAGTTTCGCCTGCTTTTTTTTTGTTCTTTTTCCCTGATTTTTAGTAATGTAACTAGGTAATTGCTTTATACATAAAAACGAAAGAAAAAAAAACTTTCAAACCTGACATACATTAGAATAATAAGAATAATAAGAATAAACGAATAATCTGTTAT